TACGGTCTTACTATAGGATAGGCAGGGCTCATAAAATTTTTCATTTTATAATTGAGGAGCTGAGGCTTTGAGAGAATGATTGAGTTGTCCTAGGTCATGTGTCTTGTAAGTGATTAATTAGGTTTATATTTTCCTTCTACCCATAATTAAAATTCTTAGTGAACCCAGACTGACCCTCGGTGTGGGAAGGAACAGAAAATGGACTCTGCCTGTAAGTGCCCTGTTTACCTTCAGCTTAGCCATTTTGTGGTTTCTTGTGGTTGCTCCTCTTGCCGTCATCTGGACGTTGGCCTTAATGTGTTAGGTGTCAAGTGCATTGACGGCAGTTAGCAGTGAACCACACCTCTGGGCATTCACACGCTTGCAAAGTCCCTCCCTTTTCAGTCTGCACTGAACCTGTAGCTTACTTTAACCAGAAGAATATGACAGAATTAAAGCTTTTCCAGGTCTGGATGCAAGCCTTAAGAAGGCCATGGAGCTTTTGCGTTTGGGTTTTTGGGACACCTGACCCATCATGTGAGATACCTAGATACCTACCGTCTTAGACAGACTGTGGAAAAGAGGCTATGTGAAGAGAGAGAGGCCCAGAGAAGACACGGAGGGAAGAGAGAAGCCCAGTCCTGCTAGTCTTCTAGCTGAGCCCCGTTTCTACCTGCTGGCTGGAAGCGTTCTTGTGACTATCCAGAAGAACTGCCTCACTGAGCCCAGCCCTAATTGCAGAATTATGAGCAGATAAAGTGGCTGTTTTTTTGAGCAGTAGGTTTTGGGGTGGTTTCAGCAATAAGAAAAACAAAAGAAGGGGCACCCGGCTGGCTCTGCCAGTAGGGCGGGTGACTCTTTGACCTTGGGGTTGCAAGTTTGAGCCCCACGTCCGGTGTAGAGTACTTAAACATAAAATCTTAAAGAAAAGCAAAAGAATTATAAAAATGTTCTTGAAAATAACAATTGTGATGGTTTTGGACTTCCCCTGGCTTGCCAATAGCAGACAGTGTTAGAGATAATAGTGATAAATAACTTCCTTTCCAGAAGCTCCTCTTACTCTGTCTTAATGTCATGGGTCTGGCTGATAGTGAGTGATTCTCAGGTGAACCTGATTTCTGAGTGCTGAGTTCCTCCAGAGAAATCTCAGGAGATAAGGGTGCTTCCTTTGTTCAGGTGTCTGAGTCCTCTTTGCTATTACCTGTCCTACTCCCACTGTCCGTGGTGCTCTTGATCCTTGTCGGAACTGAACTGGGTTTGGCCTAGGTCAGCCAAGCAAGACAAGATGGAATAGCCTTTCTGCCTCCCTTGAACTTGTTCCTGTTCTCCAGAAAAGACTCAGGAGGCCTTTTGGGGCCGAGAGGGGCTAAGGCCAGTAGCCACCTTAATTTTGATCCTGCACACACTACTTACCTGGAGAGACGTCCTACAGGGAGGTGCCGCTCCTGCATGTATGGTTTCCTCTCACACGTCAGTCTGAGTGACTGAAGACTATCATTTTTTTAAATCCCCCCCCCTTTTTCTTTTTGGTTAAAATTTTTTTTATCTTACGTGAAAATAGGTGTAAAATAATGCAGAGCCTGATTGGCTTCCGGATTGGTGGAGTAAGGGCCTCCAAGCCCTTGCTGTCCCCCAACAACAACAAAAATATGGGCACAACCCCTAAAGTCAACTATTTCAGAATTCTGCCAGTTAGCTAAAGCCAGCGAATGAACTGAAAATCATCTGCCCGAGAGAAAAAAATATGGAAACGTGGAAGACAGTGAGTGGGATCTGTGATGTTTTAGCTCGTGTTTGCTTCCGTCCCTCCTCCTTGCCCATCAGACAGAGATCCGACCACTTCTGGAGACCCCTTGTAAGGGCCATCTCCGGAGCACAGTTACTATTTTGTCCAAACTTGAGGCTCCCTGGGAAAACTGTATTCTCAGAGAGTGGTTGGCTATTTGATTTGACTCAGAGCTCCGCTGAGTTGGGGGAAGGAAAAGCCCCCCAGGGCTTTGCTGAAACCACAGCTAGTGTTGGCAATGTCTCCACCGCTTGAGGCTTTTATTCAGTTGAGGCAAAGCAGAGCCTGGCTGGGAATTCAAAAGGAAATCCTGGAGGATTAGCCAACCGTACGGAACTCTGAAAAAATGCCACCGTGTTCCTGGATCTTTCTGAAAGGTTGCGCTATGTGCAAGGCTGTGCACGTTTCTAGGAAAGACCTGGGACAGTGGAGGGTCCTCTCTGATCTTGGGACTCTGGGGAAGCAGCAAGTGGAAGCTAGGACTGTCTTATTTGCTGCCCGTAGTCAGAAGGTGTGACTTCTCCCAAGGATGCCTTTGGCAAAGGGCGGAAGACATTCAGGCAAGGCATTTAAGGCAGTTTTCTGACTAACCAGTGGCTGACCATTAAATTATAATACAGATATAGGTGTGACTCCTAGGAAAATAGGATTAAAAATTAAAAAAAAAAAAAAAGAACTTAAAAAATCTAGCCAAAAACTCCTGGCCACACACACCTTAGGGGGTATAGAATCTGCAGAATTAGTTCATTAAAGAGCTAAACTAGCAGCACTGTAAAGAATAAGAACAACAAAACCAGTGATAAAAAAAAGAATCTGGGCAGGGAACATGTAGGTGGCTCAGTTGGTTAAGCGTCTGCCTTTGGCTCAGGTCATGATCCTGAGGTCCTGGGATCGAGCTCCGCATGGAGCTCCCTGCTCAGCAGGAGCCTTCCTCTCCCTCTGCCCCTCCTCCATGCTTGTGCTCTCTTTTCTTTCTGTCAAGTAAATAAAATCTTAAAAAAAAAAATCTTGGCAGAGCAGTGTGGAGGATTCTGGTACCAGAGTTGTTAAAATATCTGAAATGTCCAGTTTTTCATAAAAAATTATGAGACATTTAAGAAATGGGGAAGTGTTCCATATACACAAGAAGAAAAAAAAAACCCAGCCATTAGAAAAAAGTCCCTTTGGAGCCCAAATATGGACTTCAGAGACACATACTTTCAGCTATTATAAATATGTTAAAAGAACTAAATGAAACCATGTCTGAAGAATTAGAGGAATGTATGAGAATGGTATCTTGCCAAAAAGTCTTATCAGTAAACCTAGAAATTACTTAAACAGAACCATATAGAAATTCTGGAGTTTAAAAGTATGATAACGGAAATCAAAAATTCCCTAGAGAAGTTCAAGAGCAGATATGAGTTGGCAGAAGACTTAGTCACCTTAAAGGTAGCTCAATAAAGATTATCTAGTGTGGGGACTAGAATGGGAATAAAAATAAATAGAGCTCCAGGAGACCTGTGGGTCCCCATCGAGGGTACCAATGTATGCATAATGGGAGGCCCAGAAGGAGGAGAACAAAAGAAAGAGGCAGGAAGAATATATAAAGAAATAATGGCAGAAAACTTTCCAAACTTGCTGAAAAATACTAATCTGCACATTAAAGAAATTCCATAGACTCCAAACCCAAAGTGATCCACACTTAGATGCATCAAAGTCCCGTTTACAAAAGTGGAGGACAGAGAAATCTTGAAAGCACCAACAGAAAAGTAAGTTGTCATGAAAGGGGGATCCTCAGTAAGATGAGTGGCTGACTTCTTACCAGAAACCATGGAGGCTAGAAGACATTTTCAAAGTGCAGAAAGAAAAAAGACTCTCCATTAGGAATTCTGTATCCAGTTAAATTCTATTTGAAAGGTGGCGGGAGAAAAATGAAGACATTAAACCAAACCAACCACCACCACCAACAAAAACAACAAATCGAATCAAACAAAACAACAACCTGAAGAATTTCTAGTGTTGGCAGACCTGCCCTACAAGAAATATTAAGGGAAGTTCTGCTTCAGGTTGAGATGAAAGAACAGACAGTAAACTAGAAAGGACTAGACAGTAAACTGTCATCCACGTGAAGAAGTAAGGAGCACGGATGAAGGTAACTACATAGTTACTACGAAAAACATACATAGGAAAGTACACAAATGCGTTTGTCTTTATAATTTTTTCTCCTGTTTTAAAAGATAACTGCATATGGCAATAATAGTAAAACTATACTGATGGGCTTATAATGTATAAAGAGGTAGTTTGCTTGGAAATAATAATAAAAAGGAAGGGAAAAAATGGATGTCAGAGGAAAGTTTTTAATTATTACTAAAATGAAGTTAGTGTTAATCCAGATTAGAATGTTTTAAGTTAAAATGATCCTTGTTTAAAAAAAAAAAAAAATCCTTGTATTTTCCAGGGCAACCACCAAGAAAATAACTCAAAAAGGGTAGGGAAAGAAAGGACAAGGCAATGCAACAGGCACCCCAGAAGATATTTGTTTAACACCAAAGTAGGCAGGAATTGAGAGATCAGTTTCCTGAGCTCCAATATACTCTTGTAGAATAGAAGTTATGAAGTAACATCCATGTTAAATAATGTATTCATGTAATTTTTAAGGAAGTGTTATCAACGGAGTGTTTCCGTTCATGGATCCTTTCATGGGGCTTGATTTTGTGATACCACCAGACATTTACCAATAGATTTTTAAAATATGGTATAAGGAAAATGCACCAAAGTGAAGCCAGTGTGATTCTGTTAACCCTTGGTTCTGCAGTTGTAGCTTTGTTTCCCTGGAGATGAAACAGTAGCCTATGGAAATGAGAGATACTCTTTATTTTGTTACTGAAAGCTTGGGTATGGAAAATTGAGTCCTTTTCCTTCCTCTAAATGCAGAAAAGAAAAGATGAGCAAAGCACTCTGGAGAGCAGAGTAGATGCTGGGAAAAATGCATCTGGAGATAAATGCACATAGGAAAGTGCTGTTAAATGGAGAAATGTTCTGGGCAGAATATTTCAGAAGTCTTGAGAGGTATTTCTATCTGCATTTTCTATGTTTTTGTTGATGCTGTTCTCCATTGGTGCTCAGTTCTGTGGAGATCCAATGTCATCACAAGAATTGTTCATTGCAGTGTAGAGCTGCCACAATGATAATATATTACATATGCTTCAGAAAATTAAAACCGATATTTAGCTTTATGATATGAAGACAGTTTAATTATATCAAACAATACTTGTAATTTCCTTATTATAGGAGAAGTGATGAAATTGTATTTTCTTACTGCTGATTTAAACAATCATTTAAAAATGAAATTCTCAATCTGTTCTCAGTCCTAGCACAGTTGAAGAATATAGCACAGTTGCATCTGTAATGATGGCTCACTCAACTGGGAACATCTCTCTGGGTGAGAATAAGTAATATTTTTAAAGGCCTCCAAGTAATTCCGATGTGGCATACCTCTTTTCCATTACAAATAACACATTTAAGTCATAGATCCCTCGAATCTTACAGAAACTAGTGTTATTAAGAGATTACAATGATTAAAATGGAATCTGCTCTTGTGAGACTCTCTTGTTCTCTTAAGCAAGTTATAGTGAATATTTCAAGTACTTTTTTTCTTAGTACCTTTTTGGAGACATTTTTATTCCTAGTTTTTAAAAATCATAGTAACTTTTTAGGTGTGCAGTTCATTAGTGTTAACTATATGCCCATTGTTGTACAATGGACCGTGAGAATTTTTCATCTTATAAAACTGAAACTCTAGGCCCACTGAAGAGTACCTCCCCTCCTTCTGAGTACCTTCCCCTCACTTCTGATACCACCATTCTACTTTGTTTCTTTGAGTCTGACAACTTGAGATATCTCATTTAAGTGGAATCATACAGTGTTTGTTTTTTTTTGGTTTTTGTTTTTTTGTTTTTGGTGACTGTCTTGTTTCACTTAGCATAATGTCCTCAGGGTTTATCCATGTTGTAGCATTTGACAGGATTTTTTTCTTTTTTAAGAGTGTATAGTGTTTCATTGTATGTGTATCCCGCATATTCTTTATCCATTCTTCCACTGATGGGCATTTAGGTTGCCTGACCTTTTGGCTATCATGAATAATGCTGCAATTACACAGGGTCGCAAGTATCTCTTTGAGATCCTGTTTCCAGCTTTCTTGGATCTATATCCAGAAGTGGGATTGCTTGATCATATATATGCTAAGTCTGTTTTTAATTTTTTGAGGAACCTCCCTTTTGTTTTTCAGTGGCTACACCAGTTTACATTCCTACAGTGTACAAGCATTTCAGTTTCTCCATATCCTAGCTAACACTTGTTATTTTCTGTTTTTGTATCTTTTCTTTTCTTCTCTTCTCTTCTCTTCTCTTCTCTTCTCTTCTCTTTTCTTTTCTTTTCTTTTCTCTTTTCCCTCCCTCTTTCCTTCCCTCCCTCCCGCCCTTCCTTCCTTCCTCTTTAACAGTGGCTATTCTAGTCATTCCTAGGTCCTTCCTGCTGGTCCTCTTTAATTCTGGAATTCATAGGATACCACATGAACATATTACTACCTTATAAGACAAACTTAAGCTGCTATTTTTTTTTTTTTTTTCTGATTTCTAAGAAGATAGACTTGCTTAGACTTGCTTTAAAGGCAAGTTTTAGGGACTACTGTCACTGGACTGGCTCTGCTCTTGTTTCCGAGAAGTCCATAAGTGTTCCATGTGTAGACGCATGACCTTGGTGTGTAACTAATGTGCTTCTTTGACTCTTTCTGAACATTGGTTGTCTCCATTTCACTTGCCCTGCTGCATCTGCTTGTGAATCTTTCTGTCATCCATTCTCCACAGATTTCTTGCCCAAGTGGAGTTGTATTGCCAAAAGCTTTGCTTCAGTGCTGGTAGACCAGCTACCTTCCAGGGCCCTATATTTGATGATCCTGTCTAGACAATTAATAGTAAGTACAGATTATAGATGATGTCTTTGGTAATGTTCAAGGTAACAGTTATTAATGCTTGTAGTCTGTCTAGTCTTCACAGCTGTGTAAGTGTGAGCATTTTATGTTTCACAGACATTTACATTGATTGGGTCCCCAGTGTTGTTTCTAACCTGCCTTTGATTCTGCCAAAGATTATACTGTGTTGTTGTAAGACTGGGGGAAAACACACTGAATTTGGGGGCAGATCTGTATTCAAGTCTTGACATGTCCACTTGACCGAATTACACCTTCGGATATGTTTCTTTTCTTCTCTGAGTCAGAAGTCCTATCTGGAATTGGATTGTTTTACTTAACCTTTCATTTTAAAGGTGTTAATATTAGGGGCACCTGGGTGGCTCGGTGGGTTGGGGCCTCTGCCTTCGGCTCGGGTCGTGGTTTCAGAGTCCTGAGATCGAGCCCCGCGTCGGGCTCTCTGCTCGGCGGGGAGCCTGCTTCCCTTCCTCTCTCTCTGCCTGCCTCTCTGCCGGCTTGTGGTCTCTGTCTGTCAAATAAATAAATAAAATAAAATTAAAAAAAAAAACAACTTCTAAAGGTGTTAATATTAAAAATAAAACCACCAGTTATTTTACTAGCAAAAATGGGTTTATTCAGGAATAGCAGAGACTTGCAGTCTAGGAGGTACAAGATATGGTAAAACCATTGGCAAGTCCGGGGAACAAAGGGGAGATATGTTCTTTTATGGAGGAAAGGGTCAATTTGGAGGGCTTAATCAACAAAAAGCCCTTTGTAGTAAACTGGGAGTTGGAGGTATGGTGGCTTCTCATTGGCTGGGTGAATGTCTCTCATTGGCTCCACTGTTGCCAGGGAAGGAAGAAGCCTTCCTCCTTCTGGAATAGGAAAGTAGTGTGCCTGCAAGGTTATGATCTCTTCCTACTGAATTTGCAACTGAAGAGGAGGGGTAGGGCCTGAGAGCTGCCCCTGCTGACTCCCAACTCCATTCTAAATGAGGTTTCCTCTTATTAATGTTCACAAAGGATTCATTGATATTTTGAGCTTGTGATTTTAGGAAGTCTTCACCAAGGAGGCTATCCTGTTAGAATTTCCCCTCTTACAGTGAAGGTGAAAGCATTTTCATACTCCTGTGGTACTTAAATGACCCATAGCTGACAGATGTCTTCTCACTTTGATTTTCAGTTTGCCCATTAATTGAAAATGTCATTTAAAACCGTAGGTTCTAAAAAAAAAAGAGAGAGAGATGCATACATCTCATTAACATTTCTGTTTTAACTTAAAACTTATAAACTGTCCTTTGATTAGGACCAGGCCTTTCCCTGTAGCATAGGTTTGCTGATTGGAACAAGTCTTTCATTAATCAGAGTTCATAACAAATCCTTTCCAGTTTACATGTTGTTACTTTAATGCTTTAAATTTCAGAGAACTGAAAAGCAGTGGTTCTCACTGTGGTTCCCAGACCAGCAGCATCACATGGGAATTTCTTAGCCTGCAGATTCCTTGGTTTCACTCTATACCTGTGGAAAAAGAAACTAAGGGAGTGGTGCTAAGTCATCTCTTTTCACAAGGCCTCCACACTAAAGTTTGAGAACCACCAATCTATATTTCAGATTTCCCCCATTTTTGTTTCTTTTACCAATTTTAACAGCAATGTTTGTAGGGACTTGCATTTAAGTTTTTCCTAAGCTTCTGATTTCGTTTTTGAGGATAGAATCCTGTTCATTTTTACTCTCATAGCCGATCTAATATTTTAATTAGATTATCTAATTGCACTAACAATAAAACTTCCCTAATGAGGTTTTGGAACAAATACTGCTGGTGTTAGGAGTGCACACAGCTCAACTCTCGGGAGCAGAACTATGGGGGCACTCCGGAGAGTAGTGGGTAGGCTGTGAGCTTTCAGCATGTCCTGCGCATCTTCACCATCACTGGAGAGGAAGTGGAGAGCGTGGTTTCATTCAGCAAGCTGGGGAAATGAAGGTCGGTCAAGAGAGCTTCTCGTATATATTTTTCCATACAGGCTTATAGCTTTCTCTGTTCTGTCTATCTTTATAGCCATTAACGCAGTGTGCATGTTTTACGCTTGTTGGTTTGTAAGTAGTTCATAGGGAATATGTGTGCCTGTTACTGTTGACACCAAATAGGAAACTGCATAGCAGCTAGTACATGAGTTGAAAACAGGCAGGTATGTTCTTTGCTAGCCTGACCCATACAGCTTTTGGTCCAGCTTAGGGTGCCTACTTTGATTATCGGGAAACCAGCCACATGTGGGAATAAGTCAGTTCAACACGTCATGATGGCCATTTGTACCAAAGCGCAAGGGAAGCATTTGCCCACACGGAGATAGGTTAAGGGGTTGCATAATTTCATCTGGAATCCGACCTGCTGAAAGGAAAACATTGGTCTTTGGTAGCATTCTGGATGGAGCTTTGATTGAGCTGCTTTTTCAAATCTATGTGTAAATCATTGGCTCATCTCAGAAAGGGGCAGGGTCCAAATAGCCTGTCTACGCGGACTCTGGGTCATCTTGTTGCTGCAGTGGTTGGTCATAGTATGGCGACAAGACATCAATAGAAGACTGCCTGATGCAAAGAAAATAACTGTTATGTAACAACATCCGGTGACCAGTCCCACCGAAGGTGTTAGGATACGGAATTGTTGTTGGTTTGGGTTCGTTGTTCAGTGACACAGCAGTCTAGTTGTTCCACCGAGAAAGTAGTAGTTGCTATAAACTTGGTTTTTAAAAAGTAATGAATGTTGCTTAAATGCTTAAGGTAGGGTGAAGTCTTTGCTCGCATTAGGCTCTCAATCCACATATTTGATATGCAGAGCATAAATTACGGGTCTGCATTTAAATTCCACTTTGCTGTCCAGAGAAGCGTTTATAAAAGTAATGAAAATTGTGGTTTCATGCAAAACTGAAGAAAAATGAGAAGATACAATTACACAGAAAACAGTTATTGAATAACTTTTGAATGGTAACTGAAAGCTAATAATATATATGTTAAATTATGTTACCATTATATAACATTCCTTGATAGTGTTGTTATCTAGATTCTATGGATGAGAAAAATGGATTTAGAAACCTGATGATTTGCCCAAGGTTATTTGACTGGTGGTTGGTGGAGCTGGGATTTGAACTGTGGTCCGTCTAAGACTAAGGCCCAGGCTTTTAAATACTACTTTACATCTTAATATCTGGTAACTTTAATATTCCTGTCCTGATTTTAAAAACTTCTCTCTTCCTGTCAATTCCAGAGATAACATTCAATAACTTGACAACAGTGACCTTTCTAAACAAATAAAGAGTGTTACAGAACCAGATGGCCCAAGATTATATTTTATTTTTCTGGCTCAAAATAAATTGCTTGCTCTAAGACTGATAAAATCCAAAAAAGACCCTCTGTGTCCTAGGACTTCATCAGGCCACATGGCCAGCCAGTGCCCTTTATCCTGAGCCAGTCACAAGTACAGAG